ATTATTTGTAGGTTATCTGAGATTGGGGCTTGACATAATTTGGCAATAGATGTATAAAATAATCTAAGTCACCCAAAGAAGTATAGTTGAATATGAACATAGTCGCAGAGTAGTGGTCTTAATAATTATCTAAATCACTAAGGTCACACTTACTTCAGTGGAACATAAGGTATAAAATATTCCTTAGGGGTATACTGTATGACTTTAAATTGCACCTTCTCATCTTCCAACTTAAGAGGTGAGTTGTTGTTGTTTCTAGCTGAGCATAAGCTAGTTGCTTGTACTGGATGTAAATTCTAGAGCTTTAACTTAAAGCATATCAATTGAAAGGAAGAATATCTCTGAAGGGAAATTTCATCTAATGTTCTAATATACATATCAATCTTCTTATTTCTTCAGCGAAGGTCAAGATAGAGACTCCAGGGTTGAATACTATTTATTTAGGCATAGCAGCTAGGTAGCACAAGATCTAAGAATCTAAATATATAGAGAAGAGGCAGGAATAACAAACTCTAACTGTGTCTTCCCTATGTCTGGAGTTTGTTCATGAAAAGTTGTGATATTGGAAGTTCTATTTCAACTCTTACTGGCTCATTCATATATCTAGTAGTTATTTATAGTATCTGCATTGTGTTTTATGATGAATTTTATATAACAAGCAGTGATTTATACTCCATATAGGTCATCCATATATCTGGGACTCAGTCATTGAGGAATAGTGTATGATTGAAATACATATAACAGAATTAGAGGTGATTTTTTTTGCTTTGATGGTATTCTTATCTTATTGAAGTTGAAGCTTCAGTGTTTGCATGAAACAAAGTAACCAGCACATCCATATCTGCAGACTAGGATATTTATGTTCATGTTTTTTCTGCCTACATAATTACTTTCCTTTTACCATTTGATATAGAAGGAATAGATGATGTCTGGGGTGTTGTGTGGAATCATTCAAACTTTTACTCAGTCTACCATATATCTGAGATTTGATCATAGATGAATAGGGTATTTATATTTCCATGCTGACTCCAAATATTTCACTCATATACCAGAGATCATCTTATGATTGAATATGAGCTAGAGTAAAATTGATTTTTAGAGAAAAATTACACTAGAGTGGATGTGGTTAAATACTATAAGATGTGGATAGATCTGAATTTGTGTGCTCGAATTCTTACATACATTATCAAGGAGATCTATCTGTATTTATATATTCCCCTCTGTAGATTTTTGTCCACCACACCATCCAGTGTCATGCATGGTATGTAATTCATATCATACTAGTCATATACAGAGAGCAGTAAGGAAGTTATGAGAGGCTGCCTGGCCCTCTGTTATTAAGTTACCTCTCTATTTTTCATTTGGTTCATTGTCTTGTATTTTATTTCTCACTTTTCAGCCTTATTTTATCTTATATTTTTAGGTTTTTTTATTTGGCTTTTTTTAGCCACCAGATTTATTTGTCAAAGTTTGTATCTCTTTATTTATTTCTGACTGTACTTTTATCCAGCTTCTTTCAGCCACTAGATTTCATTTGTCAGCATACCATGTGACTGAGGAATACTGTAAGAATCAACTCAATTCAACACCCTTGTATGACTGTGACATGCTGGGTCAATTCAACATTCTGACACTTAGGCATATGACACGTGACACACCAAATATTTCGGCACATTGAATTACAAATTAGGCAGGAGGACGTTATCATGACGATGACAAGAGCTAGATTTTGCAGATAGTCAGAATGTACGTCGTACAGATACAGCGCAAGTCAGACTCACATAGTTAGAACCGCTGCACAAATCCGGGGTCGTCACAGAAGCAAATTTTGATTTTATTGTGACGTCAAATGGTTTCAACACAAGCACATGTTACGTGTGACAACTACCTAATTTCAACACCAACACCACCGACTGTGACACGTGACCGTCAAATTGAGTTGATTCCTACAGTATTCTAGTTTGTAGCATTATTTAAGCTGACTCAATATATTTAGTTATGATTGGACATGCTTTGTTATTATACTATCTTACAGGGTGGTGACTACAGTTGACTGTCTCATAATGCATAATATTGGTCCCCAAGGTCTGTCATGCTATGTGACCAATTGAGCTAAACCCCCTTAATTTCCTTATATAATAATACATAACTGTCCAATTTCATTATGTACTATTCAATATGGTAAATATAGTGTGGATGAACATGGTCCCAAGGTCCTACCATGCATTATGAGATAATCAACTGTATATAACTTTCATTATCATCATTCTATTCTGAAGTTATATACTACCTTACAGGGGTTGACTATAGAACTTTTGTTATTATGGTTCTACTCTAAGTTATATACTATCGAACAGCTTTCATACTAAGCTTTATATGTACACATAAGACTCTCTCTTTCAATCGAAAGTGAGACATAAATCTAAGGACGACAAAGTTGAAACAGACTTTCATAGGTTGAAACATGACCTACTAGGCTGAAACAAACCTAATAAATTATCCAGAAAACAGAACATTCCATGACATACCATAAGATTATACAAGAAGAGGATAACAAACTAAATCCTTTCAAAAACTCACCACATTATCTCTCATGAAAACTAGAAAAGTCAGAGACCATGGACTTAAGGACTGGCAAGAAGTTTTCACCATGTATAATAGTGTTGTCATTATATATAACTTTCATATAAAACCTTTAAGTAACAAGACACTGCTCGATCCTTTCAGTGAAAAATATGTTCTGTTGGGTGATCTCCTAGGGTTGAGAAATGATGATGGTTATCAATGCATTCAAGATGAATAATTCCTTTCCCCCTGCAAATTAATAGCTCTCTATTTAAAGGAAATTGACTCCTATGTTGTAAATCCTCACAAAAGAAATCACTAGATGTTGATGGTAATCTATCATTACCAGGTTTGTCTCAGCACACAGAATTATGTGCTGCTGTAAGTGCCCTGCATGGCTGAATAGGTGAGTTCACTCAATCTTACTTTGATAATCACAGATTTATTACAAATCTAACATATATAAGCACGAATAGCCACCAGCTCGGTGTCAATTGTGTCCACCCCGTCATTCTGTGCAGCTCTGATGCACACTCTCATCGTCTCATATTTGCTTTTCATTCCTTGCTTCCAGCACTATGGCAACCAGCTGCACTTTTCACAGATTAGTTGGCATTCAAAATGCCTCTAGATATAAATACGACAATAAGCATTACTGGAAATATGAACAAACCCCTGACTACTTAGCAATGCTAACTGCACCTGGAGTGCCTCCACATCAACTGGATCTCAAAATAAACTTTATACATATGCGCGATACAATGCAACCTATCTGTGGAAAAAGGATTGGTGAGAAATGCGCATGTACGAATAACTGCCCTGCATCGTCAATTTGTCAAACTCCAACTGCTCCACAACCTCGAAAACCACTGTATTCCGTGTATCACGTTTTCGTTACATCCCTATCGGTCTAGCTGGACTGTGAATCGCAAGCAGTTTCCTTTGAGACTAGCTTATGCAACGACTTTCAATGGATGCCAAGGACTCACGCTCTCTCGCACTGTTCTTGATCTCAGAACAGATCCTTTTGCGCATGGTCAATTATATACTGCGCTATCTCGCTTATTTTCAGCTGGGAATGGGACGAGAGATACAGCAAACATAGTGTACAAGTCTCTGCTTTGGTAAATGGAACACAACGACTGAAGGTCATCGCTTGTATGATATAATATTTAGATGCAACATATTTATTCTCTCCAGATATGTGTCCTGAGTGGCTTGGCCATTACAGCTCACAATCGTCCATCACTGTTCTGATGCTTGTCCACATGTTATTCCAATCTATCACCCGTACATCACTGTTCTGATGCATGTCTTTATTAACTAGTGCTCAATTTCTCCATTAAATGTTATCTATATTATCCATCAGTGATGAATAAGCAAGTTCCAGTTGTTAATCGACATTTGTCCAGAACAGTCCAGAACATGTCTTGAACATATTTGTGTGAACATACATGCTGTCGTGCTGCACCTACAGTTAATACACATCTTTAAGGTTATTTTCTGCTACAACTGTCTTCTTTATGCTACATAGAATGAGAATATATTATGTAAAATACTGTCTGGGATACAAACGTTCAAATGTCCAGAACATCCGAAATGCCGACATGTTCTAGCTCTATCAAAGATAGGTGAAACCCTGAACAAGCAAGTAAAATGTGCGACTCGATCTTTGTCTGCAGGGTCGATGGCCCATATGTGTCATTTTTCTAATCATATTTTAAACAAACATATTTGCAAGTATGGATTTTGCACTAAGGGAAAGGTAAGATTTAAATAAAGATCGAGAGATTCTCCTGCTTCGGATTCAATATCTTCATCCTGTGAACACAAAAGTCCCGAGTCCCAAAATATGTGTAGCCGTCCCAAAATAGCCATACTCCACCAGAGGGCGCAATGCACTTGTCACGCGATGTCAATTCAAAATATTCCGATCACTGCGCGCGATTTTAATGTCCCTCCATTCTTCCAAAATTCAAGAAGTTTTTTTGGGGCGCTTTATTTTCATCGACCAGATAAAGACGAGAATATTTCTTTATGTGAATGAAAATTGAGTGAGAGGGCCCATTTCTGCTCAATTTCTTCCCTTTTTTTTACAGAAAGAACCGATCATACGATCAGTGCTGAAGGACGGAACTATCGAATTAGACTTCTCCAACAGCTGTCCGTCGCTTCCTTGTACAACTACTGCGGATTGATGTGTCGCGAATTTGTCGTAAATGCTGTAATCAGTCCATCATTTTATTTTCCGTGCTACGCCTTCATTTTTTTTCATCCCTGCAGGTGCAGGGCTATGTACATGTCTTCATAAATATATAAAACCTTCAGAGGGGCATAAATCCACCCATCCAACGATAAAACCATACCTATCATTACATATCCTCTGTCTACTATAAATGTCCGTCAACCAGACCTGTGACCATCCTGGATGCACCATGGGACCATTCCAGACTTCCAAGACAGCTAGGAAGCACCGGTACCGGTACCACTCTGTCCCTATCCAATTCCTAATTGGCGGGCTTCAGTATATCATAGGCCAGTCCGATGGGAAATACACCTGCCCGCTCCCAGAGTGTAAAACAATGTTCAAAAAACGTGAAGATATGCAATCACATATCACTACCGACCATAATGAGGATGAGAAGGTCAAGGTTTTTGATACTCCAGATTATAGTGAGTACAATGCAACATTGAGTCGTTGTTTAGTAGGACTGACTTTCATAGTGGTGGCCCCGTACCATGTTATCGTCCATCAAAACGCCATTCCGGATGACATTTCTACCGTTTGTCAGTCTATTTGATGTCACCTTATTAATTTGTATGTTAACCAATCGATCAAGGTTCTGGGGCGGTACTGCCTGATATTGTAGTCCACAAGGCCTCTTCCGCTCAGGATATTGGCGTCAGAGGTGACGTATATTTAATTGCAGAATTTAGAAGGCTATGCTTAACAATTTTTCCATGTCGTTTACACAGGATCTTCAATCAATGTGGAATCTAGGACCGTATCGTTGTTGCCTTCGGTTGACTACTTGATGTCAAATGAGGTTCTGGATTCACTTGGGGTATGCATTCACAGTCATCTGAAAATCCTTCTCTGCTACTCGTGCCGGGTGGCATTGACCTCTAGCATGGTATCGGGACACAGGAAAAACCACCACAATTTATATAAAGTACGTGTATCACTTGTATTGTACATCCCAAATTTGACACTACCATCCCACATGACTAGATACCTTCAGCCACATTGCAGTCCTTCTTGGACTTTTGCTCGGAGTCACACATCTACGACAAACCAGAGCATGTAAAGCTACCCACTCCAGGGGGACCACCTGTCCAGCTCATTGCAGGCCCAAGTGACGGATTTGCATGCACAGCATCTGCTGATTGCGCGTATGTGGTCAAGGATATTAGCACCATGCAGCGACACAGTAGGGAAGCGCACCGCAACATTGGCCTGATAGAGATAAAATATCGATCTTGCCAGGTACAACGTATCTTCACCGGTGTACGCAACTCATATTTTGAGGTCTCCCACAATGTGGCGGCTGGAACCAGACCTGACGTCAAGGCCATCCTTCAGGCCACGTTCCTACCAGCAATTGACGTTGCATTAGTCGTTCCAGCTGATACAGAGAGGGAAAGGACACCCCTGACGCGTTTTATGGGTTGGGATAAATTCAAGGTAGACCTACGAATGAATCCCGCGCAGAGACGAGCAGCGGACGAAATTAAGAGCAAACATACTGACGATGAACACGATGGTATCCTAGTGGATCTTGCTTCTACTGTGCGAGAACACATGGCGAAGGCATCCACCATCTTGGATGGTCACCCTCACAGGTTGAGCTTGTCTAAGCTGCTGTTGTACGGTGACGCAATCCCACGGGACAAGTGAGTAATTCAATCACATCACAACAACTGCATCCTTAACCCATATCCGCGCTTACAGTGACAGTCATTGGAGGCCTGTGTCGGATGACAACGCGGACTATCCAAACTTTATGCTACAATTGATGAGATCGATAATGCGCATTCACCTTGGATTTCGCTGGATTTCTCGTTTCAGCTGTCCGCCGTGCAGACTCATTGTCTCGAGGAACTTGTTAGTGTCCTGCGTGACGAGGACGCATCCCCACGTACCAGGATGATCGTCTACCACAATCTTGCGTGGTCCCTAGTGGATGCAGATCCCGATTTGTGCGTGGTAGATCGATGGGCAAACCCAATCAAGCGAGCAATTTGGCTTAGGGCATTGCGTCCGGACGGAAACTTCTGTGAAGCGTCCACACTCACACCCGACCTAGCAAAGCTGAAATACTTTTGCAACATCACATCTCTCCTCGAAGCGCTGATGGACAAAGAAGAAGATACAGATTCCGTCCATTTCGACGACCACGAGTGAGTGCCCCTTTGCAATTTCAAGCCTGCAAGCACTGATAATTCATTTGGTGCGAAGTCGCGTCATTCGTGTTCACCAGCGGGTTCTACGTCTCGGGCGTGCCACCACGTTCAACATAGTGTATGAGATGCAACAGTATGCGTCGTCTGTGTCGTTCAATCAAACCAAAGAGCCGAACGTTTATGTCGATCCCGACGTGAAATCCATCACGATAGGCACGGAAACCATGTTTATGGACAAACTCAGAGATGGGATCCAGAGGCTCTTGCAGGACCTAAAGTTCCGATATTTGGAGCTGACGCACGACGTTGTCATGCTGAAAGTGGTCCCAGAGCAGGTCAAAGACGATCTAACCAACTCCACCCGCGGCTATTCGCTGTTGTCAGAGGAACCTTTCTACAGGAAGCGCCACGACTTGCTATTCCACTTGGTGGATGAATATGATCTTGCAATTGTCGACAACGCTGGACGACTCGCATGGAACATCCCTGCAATAAAGGACCTCCTCAGACGCTCGCTTCGTGTCTGGGAGCCTCTGTACCATTTGATGTATATCACGACTCACATATCTTGTCGGGGGACTCAGTTCATAGACCACAAAGTCAGCAATGCGGACAGGCATCGCAACCTTTTTATGCAGGGCAACGAGATGTTCCTCCTGACCGGGTACAGCAAAAAGACTGGTATCACAGATCGTGACTCGTGCACTCCAGGGTTCGTGCCCAAGGACATTGCATTCTGGGTCCTAGAAATGCTCGCAGGTGGTTTACGGACGGCCGAAGCCATACTGGCTGGTGTTGCGTATGGGACCCAGTCGGAACATATCTATAGGACGTGAGCATTGTCCTGAAGCATTGATACAACTTAAATTCGTTTTGACATATTGATTTAGGTACCTGTGCGTCGGTGATGGAGAGAGGATTAGTCCGACCGTTTTTTCCGCAAGACTACATCACTGGAACCATGATTACTTCGACTGCCGATGGGGAGTGAGAGATTTCCGTCAATGCGCAATCACGATTGGTCGTGAATTCATCACCCCTGACGACTCGTATGACCAAGCAGACAACATTCTCGCTGAATCTGCCGATCACTCCACTGGAGTGGACCTTAGTTACTACGCCGTCGTTCAAGGAGCAGTTCCTCGACTGTCCAACAATAGTATGTGCAGGCATAGATGGATGGGAGATCAGTGGCATAGCATCCTTGGACTTGGTCCCTTACCACCTCCGGAGCCAATCAGAATCAGTCGAAAGAACATCGCTAATGGTACCAGTCTTCAATCTATGTTGGACATGGTACGGAAAACCACGAAAGAAACCCTTACATCATTTCTGGACGCCCACGCATCAAAGATACTCCAGCACACTGTCTGCAGCACCTCAGCACAACACTCAAAAGATGCCACAGCCAATGTAACTATGCGAGAAATATCATCACCGCTACCAAGCACCTGGAAGGATAGGTCCTTAAGGTTGAGCGGACATTTGGATGACTTGTTTTACGACGAGAGCGAAGGTAAGTAACACAATCAAATATATCCGCAGGACAACTATATTACTCTTCACAGTTATTCATCCAGATCTACCACTGTCATCAGGGACCAGTGGGTACAATGAGAATTCCAGTGAGTCCAACCACCATTGTCGTACACTTCAGAATCTCATGTCATCCCCAAGGCATGAATCATTCTGTTGCTGTGTCACCCACCGCAAGTGGTTATATTCAATGCGGAAATATGTTATCAGACTCTCCACTTCCATCGTCATCAATCACAAGCATCTCACGTACCGAATACATCGAGGGGTCGGTAACATCATCTGGCATCGTTCCAACCAGCGATAAGGGCGAATTGACTCCTATCTATGATCGGAAGGGTAAGGGTAGGGCGTATGAACCCGGAACACAGGTGGCGCTCAAAGACATTCCTGGAAGTAGCCCCGTCTTTGATGATGCTATGTCCTCAACCATATCTCCTGTCGCGAACGTGAAGCGCAAACGTGGCACCTATAAGGCAAGGGAAGTTCGACCCACAGATGTAGGAATTTCTTCTACAGAAAGACACACGTCTCATTTTCTCCAACAGCACCAGTCCATCCCAGATATGTCCAGTGAAACTCCTCTCCCATCAAATGTATACCGGACTCAGAAGCATGCAATACAGCAAAAACGGCCGATAGAAGATCAGGAGGAACATTCCAGGCGTCCAAAACGTATTCGCAGGTTGTCGATGGAGGAGATCATCATCTCCAGCGATCAAGATATTTCGAGTGTAGAGGAAATTCCATCGAAACGTCGGCATGGACAGCGACCCGCGATGCGAAAGACTCCTGTGGAGGTTGTCACCATCTCTAGCAGTGATAGCGACTCAAGTCCAGATGAGAACATTCCCATAAAACGTCTTCGA